AAAGCGTCAACTGATCACCAAGTCGTCGGAAATCATGGCAGACAGATTGACGCCATAATTTTTTCCCATACACTAAAATGCCATAGAATCGACTGCAGAACAAATAGTTTAAGGCCTACAGTTTAAAGTATAATTGCCAAAACAGACTGTTATGGGTGGGACATAGGCCAAATCAGAAGGGACAAAACAGATATCAAACATGATCAACAGAACTGCTTGACTTTTCTGTCAATCATTTAAAAGTTGGTTCCAAGCATCCATTGCTTCCAACGGTGACACATCCAATGATAAGGGACCGCCTCGGAGGTCTCGTGGTAGCGTGTTCGCCTCGAGTGCGGGAGGTCTTGGGTTCGAACCCTGGCCGGGTCAAACCAAAGACTTTAAAATTGGTATTTGCTGCTTCTCTGCTAATCACGCGGCATTAAGGAGTAAGAGTAAAGGCTGGTCGGCTAGGAGTCAGAATAATGTGTCCGGGTAAGTTGACATGTCTTCCTGCGGACTGTTACCTTGTGAACTAGCACGTTAAAAATCTGGCTCAGCGTGTCGGTCTAGTACAAAGCAGGGTTAATATTCATATTAAATTAACATGGTCTCGTCCTAATATGCATATTAATTTGCCGCTGGAAGTTAAGCAGCCATCCATCATCATCATCATCCATTGATAAGGAGAAAACCAGGGTTTCAGTACACACCCAATGATTTGAACATTAAACGTGACATAATCAATTCAACTTTAGAACTGCAAACTGTATTCGGAAAACGAAGTAAAGAATGAAATGTATGTTGGTATATGTATTTTATAAGTATTGCTTTTTAAAATAATAAATTAAAAATAATAATGTGTCGCGTTTTAAAAGTCCGTCAGTATATATTGATCTTTAACATGTGCTTTATTAATTCATGAATATAAGATATTTCAAAAATATTATGTTTTAAAGATCTTCTTAAAATTCTTAAAATGTTTACATTTTTCATTCAATAAAAAAATGAAATTAACTTTTTATACCCTTGGCTTTTAAATGTTTCGATTTGAGAATTCCTGAAACTCAGGAAAAGCGCTTCGGGTGAATCAAATTCATATAAGCACTTGCTTACGTGAGGAGATATAAAAGGGTCCGAAAGAAATGGCAATAAACTTGTAAAGGTCAACTACAATGTATGCTTAGGGAGTTAAAACCTTATTTCCCTAGTTATTTCTAAATTTACAATGGCGTATAAGTACATGTTAAGATTGTACTATCATAGAACTAAAATGTAGGATGTACCTGTTCATTGGATTAGAGAATTTCCCAGAAGTGTTATTGTCATATAACTTGCGAGTTTCCAGAAGTGTTATTGTCATATGACTTGTTAGACGCGTTTCGTGTGTATCTTCAGAATGTAAAGAAATATGGGTTACTTTGGGTGTATCCACAAATGAAATAAACTTCATGTCATTGGTTGACTTTTTATTTTTTGGATGTTGTTAGCCAACCTTTGAAATGTACCCATTTGAAAATATATCCTAGAATGCGTTATATTCTGGACCGGGGAATAGGTTGGATATGTTTGGACTCATGAGTGTCCTTTGTTTTCCGGCCTTAATTTGTAGGTTTATATTTTCGAATGGTTAAGAAAATTTTGTATTGAAAACATTTGGAAACATTCTGGTCACATGCCTGTGACAAATTTTCAGTAATAAAAAAGAAATTCCAGTCATTTAAAATTTTCTTGGGAAACAGATAGATTGATCTATCTATTAACTTTTGTCTTTGCTTCAACTAATTTATACATGAAATTCATTGTAAGATACTTTTAAGGACCATTCTGGTAGATTGTAGGTTTTGAAAATGTCTATGTTTCATGATTTTGAATATTCAAACCGCAATATTCACTGTGATCAATTGCTTATATTGGTTATAAGTGTATTCTGGTCAGCATCGTCTTTCGAAAAAGTAAACTTAGAAAAAAATCAATGATATTATACAGATATATATATTTAGTCGATTATATGTCGCCCTCAATGTCTAGGTTATTTCTTGTCGTTGGGTTGCTGTCTCGCCAAGTTATTCCCCATACACCCTTTGAATCAAACGCTTAATTTTTAAATTTTAAATTCTCCCTCATACTTAATCATTCTTAAATGAGTTGTTTCCAGAAAGACTAAAATTGATTTTTTATTTGATGTAGCGAGTGGACTGGCGAACAGACAAGCAGTTCAGAGTAAACAATAAAATATCTTGTGTCCTGTATTTACATTGCTTTAGTAACGAAGATAACCCTACACTTAAATAAATATACATTTCATTTATAGCTTGCATAAAATATACAGAGGTACACATAAAGCCTTCTCTTAATATGAAAAAGGGAAATTAGCTAGATATACTTACTGCAACTGTGATGAGACGATTTAAGATTTGTACGTTTTGGCAAAAAAGTTTATCGACAGGTTGTTTGTATGCCTATGGGCACCAATTGCGCCCCTTTCGTTGCAGATTTGTTTTATGTATTGTTATGAATCACAGTTTATGGCCAAACTCAGTAAAAATCAATCTAAATTACATTTTATCGATAGATTTGAAAACACTTACCATTACCTTGCTGTTATTTTTGCTTTATAATAATTAAGCTTTTTCTATTTTACTGCGGAAATTTACACCAAAGAACTCACTTTAAATAAATCTAATACAGACAGGAATAATTGTCCTTTTCTATATTTGGATATTTTAGTTTCATAGGGGAATATCTATACAAATATTTATGACAAAAGAGACGATTTGTCGTTCCCGATTATTAATTTTCTGTTTTTGGACGGGGGTGTTCTTTGGACCCTTCTTAGGGTGTTTATATTTCAAAACTTGTTCGCTATGCCCGTGTCAGTAGTCGCGTTTTAGATTTCAAGTCAACGTAATTTATGTATAACTGGTAAATTATTGAGTGAGGGATTTCGTTACCATAAATTAAAACCTTTACCAAAGAAACAAAGATTTGGTTGGGAAGTTTGGCTATACCTGTATAGTTCTTATTAAAAACGGGATATCACATACTAATTTGTACGTTGATGTTGGTTATAAAGCCCGTAAATTTAGATACGATCCATGTTAGCTAATTGATCTTTTGAATAAACTTATTCTTAAAGGTTATTAATCAGACAGTAGTAAAATATTTAAGTATTATTTTTATGGTACTAACGTTGATTTTGTTTTTGAAAAATTAAACCATGATAACTAGATATATATTGCTGTATATGTAAAGTTATGAGAACTCTTGATCCTAAATTTTGTCAATACCGTTTACTTATTTATTTTGCATCGCATAAGGTCATACGTTTCTTAGACTGTTTATGACGTTTTATACTGAATCCGTTGGATGTGTACTGATTTATACTTTAGTCTGGGACAACATGATTCAATTATTAGCTGTAATTGGCTTCGAACTAGCTTTTAGTAACTGCGAGTACTTTTAGTTCGGTGCTTTGTGTCTATTGTTTTTTGTGTAAGTTGGGATTTTTTTTTTTCTGCCTCGTACCGACCTTTTGAGATAATTCAGTTGCAACTGATGTTTACAGTTTGTTCTTATGTTGTGCTGTTACACAACTGTCCTAGGCTAGGGGATGGTTAAGCGCTCACAAACATGTTTACCCCGCCACATTCTTTATGAGCCTTTCCCAAGTCAGGAGCCAATAGTTCAGTGATTGTCGTAAGTTCGTGTCTGTCAACTTTGTTTTTCGTAAATTGTTTTGTTATAAATTAGGCCGTTAGTTTTCTCGTTCAAATTGTTCACATTTTTCATGTCAAGGCCTATTTTAGCGGAATATACGGTATGGGTTTTTCTCATTGTTGAAGGCTGTACGGTGGCCGATAAGTGGTTACATCCACTTCATTTGAACTCGGTGGATAGTTGTCTCAATGACAATTATACCACGTCGTTATTTTTATATTTATTACATTACCTTAAATTTGTATTTAAAGGACAATACACTTTGATATTTTTGTAAACCTGTATATATATATATATATATTTATAGAAGTCTATAAAAAGGACCAACCAGCAAATTTACTATGTACCGGATCGTCTAGAATAGACGATACTGTGCAGATAAGGAAAAAACTATATAAGTCTAGAGATTTGCACAACGATACTAATATAAGATGGTATTATACGAAGATGTTGTAATTAAATCGTGTTGACAAATATTCCGGCTTAACAAATAGCCTTCTTCAGTGTCAATGGTGAGCTAAGAAGAAGTTGTAAATAATTCTAACAACAAATACTCAAGATTTTCCACCAAACACCAAATTTTCAAAATAATGACAGAAGACAATCACTTACATGTAGAAGATTCCTGTATTAGGACAGACAAGCCTAACACATTTATAGAGAAAGGGAGATAACTCAATTTAATGATATAGCTGTTTAACTGTTCCGTTCATAGTAAATAAACAAAAATGTGAAAATCAATGTTCGGCAGTTTTCCTCGGAAGGGGTCAGAATTATTTTCATTTAGAATGTACATTAAAATTTGATGCGGTTCAAGGATTGGCGACAGCAAACATGTTCAACCCCACCACATTCTGTATGTGCCTGTCCCAAGTCAGGACCCTGTTATTCAGTGGTTGTCGTCTGTTGCTGTATATCATATTTGTTTTCGGTTCATTGTTTTGTACATTAATCTGGCCGTTATATTTCTAATTTCAATTGTTTTACATTTGTCATTTCAGGGCCTTTTATAGGTTATTAAGCGGTTTGGGATTTGCTCATTGTTGAAGGCCGTTCGATGACCTATAATTGTTCACTTGTTTGACATTTGGTCTCTGGTGAAGAGTTGTCTCATTGGCAATCATATCATATCTTCTCATTTTTATAAAGCTACAAATTTCCTTTTCTGAAATGTAAAAGTGAACGGACAAACCAATTACTATATATAACACTGCGTTCGGAAACAGGTCGGTTAAACTAGTAAAAAACAAGTATATAGTTAGGCTGTAATGTCATCGCTATTTCAAAGAAACACAATTGGGTATTTAAAACTATTAATTTTATTGCACAAAATACTGTCGAAATACTGACATTGGTCATCACAGCTCTTGCTGGCCATTTTCGTAAAGTCCGAACCATAGCATCACCATAGCAATAACTAAACATATAATAAACATGGAGGACACCTTCAGTGTTTGGTAAAGCATGTCACACTGAAATAGAATAATGCGCAAAATAAATTTTATAAATGAAAAGAAAAAGTCCTACAATAAATATACATGTATAAAAACAGCGTACTTGAGAAATGTAAACGTCCTACTGAAAACATAATATACATGCATAAAAAAGAGTACTCATGAAAAGAAAAATGAAAGATAATATGTATATTAATATGGATAATAGGGGTAAAAACAAAGTGTTACTAAAATATCCTTCATTCTTGTGTATGATAATTAGTAAAACACAAGCAAACCTTTATTTCTTTTTAATAATTGTTCCTCACGTTTGGATTGTTTGTGGGTATTCAAAACAAGAATTTTTGACATAATATATAATAAATATTTATTAAGTTCAATATACTGAATCCGTTCATGGTATAAATAAGCTAGTTGGTGAGTGGTCTAAGGCGCTAAACCCATTTCAGACAGTGTTGACCTGATATTCAAATCTCGTTTAAGAATGAACAAATTTAGTCTTCAAAGTTAAATGCATGATTTTTTTATTAGTTGTTATTGGCTTTGAACTAGCTGTCAGTAACTGTGGGTTCTCTCAGATCTATACTTATTGTCTTTGTTGTTGTGGGGGTGTATAAATATCCTGCCACTTCCGGTCTGTGTTTTTGTTAGATGTATTCTGCTTTGTATCAATCTGATGAGTTAAGCCCTTTTTAACTGATTTTTACAGTTTGTTCTCATGTTGCACCACTGTCCAACGTAAGGGGGAGCGTTTTTCGCCAACAAACTTGTTTAGACCTGCCACATTCTGTATGTATTTGTCCAAAGTCAGGAGCCTGTAATTCAGTGGTTGTAGTTTGTTGCTGTATATCATGTATGTTTTTCGTTCATTGATTAGTTCATAACTCAGCCCGTTAGTTTTCTCGTTTGAATTGTTTTACATTTGTCATTTCGGGGTCTTTTATAGCTGACGATGCGGTATGGGTTTTGCTCATTGTTGAAGGCCGTGCGGTGACCTTTAGTTCTCTACGTCTATGTCATTTGGTCTCGGGTGGAGAGTTGTCTCATTGGAAATTATACCCCATCTTCTTATTTTTATAAAAACATCTGCTCATTATTGCTTTCCTTCCGCAGCGGGATACTATTGTAAGATACCAATACACAGTATTAGTGATCAGCATAAACCTCACTAAAAGACTGGGATGAATTTGACCATATCTTTTCTTGTCCATTAAAATAGTTCCGTAATCCACAATAAAATAGATTTTACAGTTGACAGTTGACACCATGCACATTTGCGATTGTTTTTGTTTCTGTTTGTTAAGAAGAAGGAGTTATAGAGAAGGAAACATAAAAACTCGAAGACCTACGAAAATCAAGAGAGACGAAATTTTTTCATGTTGAGAAATAGATAGAAAATCAAAAATAATATATAATTTACTTCATAGATCTAAATATCACAATTATATATTATGACTGATAAGATAGTTCTTGTGTGTAGGGTTTGCCTATAGGCTAGCAACCTATACCCTTTTTATGACTAACATTGTCGACGTGTGTATTTGCACTATCAATATATTTACTTCAAAGGCACAATTAGACCTGGAAGGTTTGATCGTGAATTGTTAAAAAAATGCAGGTGGTCACGATATATTCGAGGTAAAAAAAAAAGGTTCGAATAAAAGAAGATCTTTCATCTACCTAATACCTTATTTTTCTAAAGAAAGAAATCATTTAAAAAAATTGTTTGGTCTAATTACCTTCTGCTGACTTATTTTTAGATGTATCCGTTTCAAATGAGTCTGTATTGTTTGTTTAGTCTCGTTTTGAATAAATCTCTCCAACATATCTAGACATATCTGTTCGGCTTCAATAAGGTCATCTACACTACCATAGTTTAAGCAGAAATTTATATACTGTTGATACATTTTCAAATGGTATTGTGTATTCATGATGTTACCACTTTCCCTAGCCTTCTGACACGCCATTTTATAATTCAGTTTTGCGTTTTGAATATTTTCTTTGGTGGGACTTAGAAGGTAGGTTTGAGCAATTTCGAGATAAATGCTTGTTAATACTATCCATTGTTCCATTTCCTTGGACAATCCCACTAATTTTTCTGCTTGAAACAACGCTTCCGAAAGATCGTTTTGGTCTCGGTCATTTTCCCACAATTTTACATAGCACTTGACTAACATCCGGGTAATTAAACATCTATGATGGAGGTTGAATTTCGGCGCCATTTTCAGCACACCAAATGATGCATAAAATGTAGCTGAACTTTTATTGAACATTTCGTCTAATGTAACAATCACATCTTTTAGTTCATTACTTTCAATTTTCTCGTTTGATCTGAGAAAATATAATATTCCATTTCGTTTTGTTACTGTACTCGCTAAAGGATTACAGGACGGGTAATGCTCGCGGTAATAGTTATTCAAATATTGCGCAAGATTATGCGCAAAACGAAACTCCGTTAAGCTATCGATCTGCTGTTCCTTATAAAAAGTACGATCACGTGGGTTTACTTTTGCCGCCTCCATCCACCATCTGTTTTTACTACTATTGTTCATCAGGGTTATTAGAAGGTCAATTAGAAATGTGTCTCTGATATTTGCAAAGGGCACGATTATATCTTTCAAAGTCATAGCTTTGACAATATGCAGAGGCAGCTTATTGTTTCGAATCTCTTTTGGATTCATTTTTCCGTAATGCTTAAATAGTTCAATTTCTCTCTCATTTCTGAATTTGTTCGTCAAAAACATTTCTACAAAGTCTAGCGAAACACTGGATATTGATATCTCTAATAATTTCAAGAAGACTTGTCTTGCCTCTTCCTGCTCGGTTAAATTGCCGTATAAATAGTCCTCCAAATGTGTAACATTACCCGTATGCAGTGCCCTTTCTGGCAAAGACATACATGCAATGTCCTGAAAAATAATTTGTTTGGCACGTGCAAAATAGTCTTCTGCTGATAGCTCTGTACTTCCGTATAACCGAAATGTCACTCCAATTGCACAACATAAATAACTTTCATACACTTTGCTTTCGAAAGAGTCATCGAACAAATCACAATATTTTCGCAACAGCAAAACAGCATGATGGATAAAGCATATATTTCTCTTCATGGATTCTACAAGTCTAGCATCGGTGTCTAAATAATAGCAATAATGTCGTAAAAGGTGATTGACATCTTGACGTACTTTGTGTTGAGATTTAGCATTCTCAATCATTAAAGAGGAGACTCCGTGCATCGATAGAATTCGTTTTTCACCAACGCCTTCAACAGTAGCCAATGAATAATTAGAGAGTACAAGCAATAGTTTATTAATTTCTATCTCTTTCTCTGCTCTAGATAACTGGTCCGACAGAAAACTTTTCAAAACTGTCACTGATATATTATTATGGTTTAAATAGGGAACAAGGGAAAGAACTCTTCGAGCAATGTTTGTAATTTCATCATCTAAACGTTGCAGAGTTATGCTGTAAGATCTAGCAAGGCTTTGTGTTCCCAGTGTGTCTGCCTGAAGCTGAGAGCCTAACAAATTTTTATTATATTCATAAACGCTGATATGCGTTATTTTTATAAACGATGCTGCAAGTGACAGAGCAAGGGGGAGATAATCTAGATTTTTAGCCAATAATTTCACTTGCTTTTCTTCACTTCTGCATGAGAACGGAAAAAGGGACACTGCTTCCTTTTCAGTCATTTTATCCATTTCCATTCCATAAATTTCGTAATGGTTCGATAAAAATCGTTTATTAGAGGTTGCTACTACATAAATATTTTCCGCTGTTATGAACCTGTCCATTGCATTGTAGACAATGATGTCTTCCGGTGATTCGATGTCATCCAAAATTATCAAATGCTTTCGGGTCACATTTCTCTGATTGGTTAAATTTTCGATAGCCAAGTCAAGCATTGTTCTTATACAGTCTCTTGTATCCGATTCACATAATATACATTCTATTTTCAAATGTGACATCAGTGTTGCAAATGACAAATAGACACTTCTCTCTGATTTGCAATGAACCCGCCAGACAACGGAAGATGGATGATTTACCTGAAATTTTCTGGCATACCAAAAGGCACTCTGAGATTTCCCTGACCCATTGGGTCCTGTAATGAAACAAATATTCTTTTACCTCTTTTTGAGAACTTGTATTGATAAAAGGAATAATGAATTTTACGTCAATGACAAAGAATTTCAACAACAAAAAATAAAACAGCTAGCAGTTAAAATTAAAAAATGAAGTCATGGATAAAAGTTCCACTGAATAATCCATGAGTAATCCATTTCATGTCACCTCACATGCAATTCTTGATAAATCGCAAGGAATAGGATGACCGTTGGCCCGTTATATAGATAGCAATAGATGGCCGAGAGGTTTCATTTATTTTTTAAATAACATTCACATTATATATATATATATGAATTAGAAAAAGTAACGATACAATGAAACTTAGACTATATAAAATATACGCCGAAAAGTTTACCCTGAAGTCTTTATGATTCGTTCACCCAAAACGTAAATTCATGGTAAAACAGAATACAGATCATGGATACTTGTCTACATATATCCCTCTTTAAAGGTATATAAGTGGGATTTTTTTCTGTAATCGATTTTCTTAAAATATTTTCTTGGGCATTAAGCAAATAATTATCTGCGCATCTTTCTCCAGTTTTCAAAAGTAATTACAACATTGTATTTCAAATCATTGGGGTGGGGCACTGATAATTACTCCTAATTTAAAGTATATTATCTTATATTTCAACTTTTTTCATGTAACTTTTAGATAATGATTCAACTTCTTGAAAATTATAAATGCAAAAACTTATGTCTGAACTTATTCCTTTAGAATTTCAATTTAAAACTTCCAAATTTTAAATTTTGAAATGCCTAACCTTTAACAAGAACTGCTCTTTTTGTCTCAACAATGTCTATCATCTTTCTTAGCTGCTCTGTTTCCTTGAAATTTCCAACAACATTCATTGATCTGACGTCAAAACCATCTACAACATAAATGATTAACTTTCAATTTCTTAGTACGCATTTTTTTTTTCTTCTTCGTTAAACGGAATGAACTAGCCATTGTCAAAATATATGCAGCAATAAAAGAGCTTTTTAATATGGCTATTCATAGTCCTGAAGTCCCAGTACGTCACCGCTGTTTGTGTCGTATTTAATGTGTTCAAATATAAATTTTTTTGTAGAAACGCCAGAAATTATTGTTGTTTTTCACTACATTGATTATACTCTGTATTGGATTTTAAAACACAACACAAAATTTATTTTTGCTCAATATTGTTGAAGGAAGTGTGGATGACCGTTAGCTGTTTAAATCCCTGTCTTTTAATCTTTGGTGGTATGTTCTCTCACTGGCGTTTATACCATATCTCTTTATGTTATCAAGCAATATGAACTATAATTAGCTCTTATAACCCACCATATCAGTAAATACAACACAAACATATTTAAAATGGATAAATAAGGAAAACTGAAATAACTCTCTCGGACTCCGTAATAGTATTGTCTTGGGATTGAGTAAACATTGAAGACTTACAATGATAATCATTGTTAAAAATATACCATGTTTCGAAATTTCATCAGAAGATATAGGAAAATCTGATTGGATGATATCATCTACTCCATCAATCCCAGCATTCTTCAGTAGCGATCTCACGTGCGGTAACTTTTCTTCTGTTAAGATTTCTTTCTTTTCCAGCATGTGTACCAGCTCCCGTCCATCTGTTACTTTATTCAGATCGGATTGATCCACTTTGTTTCGAAGGATAAATTTTAGATTCTTGATGTCATCTGAAAACAGTTTTACAGATTTATTTATAAGAATAAAATTTAAAAAAAAAGAATGTCTTGTGAGCAAACTAACTATTTGTATTTAAACATCATTTATTATCCTACTGCTTGGCTATGGCTATACAACTTTCAGGTTAAAAATCAAGATCACAAAATGACTTTAAAAAACCCTGCAGCCATGCATTGCAATTTCATGGAGCATTTTGCAGTACTTTGTCATTGGGAGATCCCATCCCGAGCTAAATCCTATTTAATCTCAATGTTGAAGCTCAATGTAATCTAATACCTGTAGCACATGGAAGAAAAGCCATTCAAATTATGTCGTATTGATTGGTATTCCAATTTGCGATATTGGTGCATATTCTGGTATAAAACCACTAATTTATGGCTCCATTGGTGCACTAATTTTCGGCATTCATAGTCATAATTAAATTGAAATAAAGTGACAGTCATTTCAAGTCAAAACGATATTTTATACAGGCTTGTGCTGAAAGATTAAAAATCCATTAATTGCAATTAAGGTCAAGTTACAGTAAACTGGCTATGTCACATATTTTGGGAGGTGAGCCTATTATTATTTCATCGTTTCCGCCGATTTTATGTGCTTTCTATACAAATGTTCACCTACTTTGATAGAATTCAATCAGTAATATTTCAGAAAATAAAAAAGATAAAGGCACTATATTTTCGATTTTCAGATAGAGTTCAACGAGCCAAAGTTGTATGCAAAATTTTACCAAAATCTGTGACATAGCCCATGTACTGTTATCGCACTTGTTTCCGGAAGTCGGGAAGTACAGAACAGGTCCTTCTGGTCTGAGAAATAGGTAAATATGCCCTTCTCAACTTCATACACTTTTCAATAATTCAAACTAAATATTCAAAAAGGTTCAACAGTGATCCTAGGTCCTAAAGCTATCATTTCATACCAATATTACCCGAATATTTTAGTTACAGCAATGCTTAGGAACTATGGTGTGTGAAATGTGTATTATACTTTCTTCCTGACATGGTCCAAATTAAAGACACATAAAGCTTTAGTCCAAACACTAATTTATTGAATTCAAGCTCAAACTTGGTTGTTAGTAACTTATATTTTTCTGACGGGCCCTAATTAGTGGTTTTATGCATTCTCATTGTAAAATAGAATCGTAGATTACAATATAAGTATGCTATTATCTTTGCCTGTTGTAGATAGACCAGAATGCATCAATTATTGCCGCTTGTTTGACTTCAGTCAGTTACACAATTTTGTTAATAAAATTTTTTATCTTGAAATGTCAGATAATACATCCTAAAAGTCTTAATTATGTAAATGAGTTAAATAATATGCAGCCCGGGGTATACATTGTAATAAGACAACAACAAAACGACGCAACCAAAAGCAAATTATGTTATGTATATGGTGTATAAGCGATCTATATATATATAAAGCAACAATCTCTGCGGGTGAATCTTTATAGAATAAATCCTTACCTACTGAAAGACTTCTAGCAAGACGTTGGCAGATATTTTCATATCTGGAACTGTAGTTCACTAATGAATCATCCATGGAGTCCATATTTTTAGTACATTATATCATGAATCTAAATTGTGAGAAAAAAAACAAATACAATTTTACCAACAATTAAGGCAACGGCAAGGTCAAAGTTCACTACAAAAAGAAGGATTTTATGTTGGGCTATCTCATGAATCATTTTGAATTATTGAACCTTTAGTTAGTAAGTTCACATACACCCATGTTCCAAGTAAAAAGGGGGAAAACTTATAGAGAACTGGTGGTATAGTTTTGTTCTGTTTACTTATTATATGTGATATATATGCAATTAAGGTTGTAATCCCATATGCAGTATTTTACAAGCATTCGGAAACCACTTTTTTTGCACAAATGTGGTCTATTTATAGATAACTATGACCTTTGCCATCAACATAGTGATCTCCAAATCAAGAGGGATCTTCCTCTCATTATATTTGATTGAATATGCAATTCAAGTTGAAATCCCATATATAGTATTTTATTTAGTATGCCGAAACCTCTTTTATACTATACAAATATTGGCCTATTTCAGGTAACATAGAACTTGACAGTAGGCATGATAACCTAAAATCAATAGGGCCTTCCTCTCATTATATGTGACAATATATCCATCATACATGAAATCCAATATATAATTATGTAATGTAGCATCCGGAAACAATTTTTTTGTACCCATTTCTATTTTTAGTTACTACGACCTTGACCTTTGACACAGTGACTTAGGCATCAAATGGATCTTCCTATCATATATGTGAACATATATCCAAGTGAGGAAGCAATCAGATGTAAATTATTTGAGTTAGCATCCTGAATCGAAAATGACTGACAAACTGACTGATCGACTGACGGACGGACGGAAGGACGAGTCAAAAACTATTTACAGTAACCGCGTATAAAAGCACATATAAAACGTATACGGAATACACAGGCTTGAAATAGTTCGAATGTATATACTAGTACCAGCGAGAATTGTCTCCCTTAGGTTGTGTTACGGTCCGAACAATACAATAGCTTGTTTTTCATATATGTTTATGTTATATGTTTCATCATATATATTTTGAATTTGGAAATACTTATACTAGAGTACTCAACAGATAAAAAATATAAAATACTAACCAATACATTGTAATAGATGTCCACTATTTCTGTATAAATAATTACCGGTTTCCATCAAAATAGTAACAAAGCAACAATCGCCTCAGTTTCGATGTTGTCAAGCCTCTCAAAAACTAAATATTACAACATTTCGTAATCTGATAAGACTACTAACCAATATATTGAGAATTACAAATTCCACACACACCAAAAATACCCCAATTTTTCATGTGTAACAATTTCTTTTCACAATTATATGGTTAACCATGACCTTTTAACTGAATCGATAGATTTTTTAAATACAAACCTATTAGAATTGATCTTCCATACATGTTTAAACTTGAGACTATCTTGAATTAATGTGCTTATCTATTTAAAGGGTAGATTTATATAACTTGTTAAACTTGTCGAAAATGTAATAACAAAAGTAAGGAAATATCATGACGTGAAATGTATTTGTTTTTATTCCTAATATACTAGTAGGTCTGTTGTTATCTATTATTTTATAAAAAGGTTATCTACCTCCAGGCATAGACAGTCTTAGCCGTATTTGGTACAACATTTAGGAATTTTTGGCATGCAATGCCCTTCAACTTCCTGTTTTATTTTTTCAAACGCCAGTTACGAGTCTCATGTAAACGAAACGCGCGTCTGGCCTAAAACAATTATAAATCTTGTATCTTTGATGACGAGATTTTAATTGTCTCCCTTTTATATACACCTTATCGCTTATCCCGCTTGACCCGAGAATCAGTCCCGCTCGAACTTTTGACGTCATACAACAATCACTTTTCCATTGTGGCGTCAGATATTTTCTATTATGACGTCAAAATTTTACGGGAACTTGTGTGATGTCCAGTAATGGCGGACAAATAGCGATAAGGTGTATTGATAGAATGTTAGATAAATGATTGATTGTTGGTGTTTTACGCACAAACAGCACACACAATTGGTGGGATGGCACAGAAAATACTTTTATAACTGCCACAAGAACTGTAGTATATTGGAATTCAGTAAGTTGTTAAATTTGGCATTTTGTAAGTAGCGGCCATGCATATACGCCTCTCCTTTATTAAATATAGAAAAGGGTCTTTAACATGCATAAAGCCTTGCATTCTTCACTATTATTGTCTTTGGCTTTGCTTTCAGTGATATACTTAAGCTTGTAGTTAAGAGAGTGTGGATGGGTAGGGGGTTTACAGAATGGAAAATAATTGGCAAAAAATATAAAGAATAGAGAAAAATGGTTCAAAAAATATAGAATAGACAATAATGAGGTGATAAAATATTAAGAATATAGAATAATGGGCAAAAAGTATAAAGAATAGAGAAAAATTACTACAAAAATGAAGGACCCCCCCCCCCCCCCCCCCCACACACACACACAACATGCCCCTCATTTAACCCGACTACTCCTGAAAGTATCATTAGTCTTCTTCACCTTTGAGGCGCATTGCTGCACTTATGGTAGAGCTATACAGCTGGTCGCTGTCTGGTTTTTTTTTCAAGTTCGATAATTACTTTATCTCCTATCAACTTATGAAGTACTACGCTTATTCTAAAGCTCTTATTTATAAATCATCTTTTACGAGACAATTTGGTTAACCTTGTTTGCCCAAAAAATAAATATTCTACACATAATCATATAAGGACAAAAGTGGTTACCTTGTTCGCAAAGACTTCCCTTCTTGTGCATTTAATCAAAAAAAAAAATGTGGAATCCTTGAAATCATGTTTTTCATATCGCAATAAAGTTTCAAAAGGCCGTTCAGGTCAAACTTTCTTCTTTTACACTCTGATATAGCATTTGATCCTTATTTGGATTCCATTGAACAAAAAAACAACTCTAACCTCCGATAAGTCTTGCATATCTTCATCCAAATTCGCCCCTTGCTTTGACATGTGATGATCTCAAATAGAGTAGGAACTCCAGTCATGCGTCAAAACATTTTCGAGTGTCGTCAAATGAGTTTTTTCAAGATAACAGTTGAAAGGGCAAGACACGCCTTGAAGAACGGGAGTATTGGGGCCATTTATTTCAAAGAATTACCTACAGTTGAAAACTTATGTTTGACCTGTAGCTGTTGTTTTTGTTTTATTTGTGTTGTTGTCTTATTGACGTATCCCTCTTATATCACAGTAGATTAAAAACACATAGACCATTTACATCGTAGATTTTCGTTGAAAAATATGGCATCATTCTGTAGAAAGTCAAGTGTTACAGAAGTATAATTTATTGATACAAAAAAAAATGAATGGAAAAGTCATCGATAATAAAAAGTAGCTTTTTAAAAACTCATAAGCAGTTAAAAAAATACATAAAGAAGGCATGTAAATGTTCAAAAGCTAAAGGGAAAAAAGAAATTAAGAAATTGTGTTGTGTAGTATTATAGCTGTTTGCATAAAAAAGAAGTAAAATATCCATTCAAACCTAATCGTTTATTTTTGTTTCGTTTTCTTCTATTTGTTAGCTGTACAAAAACACAACACCAATAGCTGTAAAAATATAGTTTTCACCAACATAAGTCTGCGTTATGCTGCGTTGTCCAGATAACATCACTTTTAACGACTGAAACTGACGAAAATTGGAAAATCTCAAAATGTGTAAAGATTCGTCTCAACATATTTTTTATGTATACAGAAAATAAATGACTGTAAGCGTATGATGCAACATTTAGCATAAAGTCTTTTTACAAGCAACATCAGAAAACTCATATAGTACATCTAATTTACAAATGCACATCGGTAAAACAAAATTGAAACAATTCTTATTTTGGAAGGCCTACATGGATTACCAACGAATTTATAAGTTTTTGAATCGTCTCAATGACTGTTGTAGTTATCTCCCTTTATATGTCAATTTACTTCTCGGTTTGATTATTTAACGGATTTTTACGGATTGGGTTATTATTGTTTTCTTAACGTCCAGTGACAAATATTTCATGCTTATTCCAAACAAGATCAAATTAAACAGAACATCATATCAGTCCGTTTTCAAGGAGAAGGGCGAGAAAGTAAAACTGACACACAAACGTCATTTGCAAAGTAAAACCATTTTCATTATCAAAGCTTCATGCGTATACGTGCACGTAGTTATGTTGATTTTTTTAGCATGAAACTAAATTAGAAATACTTATAGATGCATCAAACTTCAATTACGAATGATTTTAACAAAACAAATTTTCAGTGTTTACAAAAAGTTGAATGTATCAAAATGGATTTCAATAGCAATGTTAGGGATGAGCAATATTAATTTTAATGAATGTATGTGAAAATATTTAGGGGAGGGTTGACCACTCACAATGATGTTTAATCCCTCCATTTTCTGTTTGGTGCTACATGACAAGCCAGGAACGTGTAGTCCAGTTATTGTCGTGTGTTGCTGTTTGTCCTTGTTGTTTTAGCATAAAGCAGGCCTTTCATTTTCTATTTTTAATTGTTTCACGTCATTTTCCCCGGGCCTTTTATAGCTTTCTATACAGTACGAAGGCCAAACAGTGACCTGTATTTCTTCACAATGGTTCGTGCTTATCCTCTAAACTTTGAAGTTAAGAGATAACTTTGAAATCAAGAAATAGATACTTTAGATTTAATTAGTAAATTTGGCTGTACCTGCAGAAAACTTATTAAAAACGATATATCTTAAACGATAATTGTGCTGATGTGAACACGAGGTGCACTGCTGGACATATATAAATAATAAAAAAAAAAAAAAAAGTACTCATGAGTATTTTTAATGTATTTTTGTTATTGATGCTATTTTCATTTGTCTATTATAATATCAGTCACATTATATACTGTACAATGTCTCATGTTTGTTGCTTATATTATCATAATTGCTAATTGTAAATGCCCCCTGTGGAACCCTGATTGGAATAATAAAATATTTGATTTGATTTGGTATTTCACATCCTAAATCTCAAGGTAATATTGTACTTAAAGCGTGGAAATCATTATGTGATCCATGTAAACTCATCGAACCTTTAAACAAACTTATTAGTAAAGATTATCTTACCAATGTTGTAATTAGATCTTTGAATATAGTTTACATTGGCACAAATATCGATTTTGTCATCAGCAAATTAAAACATAACTAAATTTGTATTCTTTTCAAACGGTTAAATTGTTGTTGGCTTTAAACTAGCTTTCAGTTACTGCGAGTACTTTCAAATCGTACTTTCGTGTTAATTTGACCTGTTGATACAATTTGTAATGTATTTTTGTTATTTAATGTTTACTTATTCAGTGTTATATCTAGTCTCACTATTTTTAATATATATCACCTTTGATAAGTGTTTAGTATGACGATAAATTTCACTTTTGTTCTCGTACTAGGAACAACAAAATTATTTATTTTGTAAAAATTATTTCCATACTCCATGTATACCTTACAACATTTTTTTTATTTACCCGTGTACGTTATTCTATTTGGCGGCAATTGTCCAAGGTTATGGTTGTCTTTCTGTATTTACATTGTGTCATAGATCAAATTTATATTCGTTCAGTGTATGTTCACTTGTTTTTGTTAATATGTCTTTTGATTGAGTTAAGCCATTTTAATTGATATTTTATAGTGTGTCTTTCCATGTTGTGATGTTACACTATTGTTTCAGGAAGGGGGAAGGTTGGCGCCTATTAAAACGTTTAAACCTGCTGCATTTGTTTGTACCTGTCCTAAGTCAGGAACCTGACGTTCATAATGTGGTTGTCGTTTGTTGATGTGGTTCGTAAGTGTTTCTCGTTTCTCGTTTTATATAGATTAGACCGCTGGTTTTCCTGTTTGGATGGGTTTACACTAGTCATTTTGGGGCCCTTTATAGCTTGCTGTTCGGTGTGAGCCAAGGCTCCGTGTTGAAGGCCGTACTTTGACCTATAATGGTTTACTTCTACAAATTGTGACTTGGATGGAGAGTTGTCTCATGGGCACTCATACCACATCTTCTTATATCTATTTAATCCGATAGAGTTTGGAAACAGTACACATGTATTTGTTCTTATGTCGCGTTGTTGCATCATTGTCCTAGGTTAGGGTTTTTTTTTTTTTTGGGGGGGGGGGGGGGGGGGGTAAAGCAATCACAAACATCTTTATCAAGTAACCTGTTACAAGTCAACAGCCTGTAATACAGCGGTTTTCGTTGGTTACTGTCTTTCATATTTGTCTTTAATTTCGTTAAAATCTTCTTCTTTTCTTTCGTTTGAAGTGATTCATATTTAGCATTATGTCAGGGTCTTTCATAGCTTACGTATATATATGGTTTTT